TATCCACATTAAGCAACGCAACTACGGTGTTAGTGCGCTAACAGATGAATATTATTGTGGTGCTGACGGTACTTGTAAGGCTCATGAGTCAGTTCGCCCTGGGAGGGACTGCAAATGTTATCGACAGATGATCTTGTTGTCAGGGTTTCATCCGGAGAGCAGTCCTCCCGGACATTGGCAGGCAACAGGTAATCAGGGAACAAACATTAAGTATGCATAAGGTGACTCGGGCGCTTGTAGCTTTTAATCTCCTGAAGAAGGTAATGATTTGAGTTACTCGAAACGCCAGTCAAACCCACTTTATCCTCGAAGGACCCGTATTTAATAACCAAACAGCAGCTTAGAAGGGCGTATCAATTTGTTCGTATTCGATTGAATCCCTAGCGATGGTAGAACTAGTGTTGTAGTTGTGGCTCGGTTGAAGTGGTAGGGTGACAGTAGCAGGCGATCGTTAGACGTGGCCAAATCTAAAAACAGGGCTTAGACGCCAGCGAGTTCCTCCAAGAATCCTATGTACGTGGGCTGTATCAAAATATCCAAGTCCCTGAATAGTTTTGGCTGGGCTTCGGAAAGCCTTCTGGCTTGGCTGTCCACAGTCCTCGCCTGCAGATTGCTCATTCACAAGAGAAAGGTCGCGCTGTCATGAAGGCATCATAAGGATGATTGGATATTCAGAGATACGATCACATCTGAATTACATCTGTCGAGGAGTGAAAGGTATTTATAGATGAAAGCATTCATAGGAAGAAAAGACGTAGAAATTCTAAGAACACTATTAGGGGCGATCACCAGCCTTCCGAATATGATAATGATCCTCCAGTTTCTTGCATCAGCCTCTCGAGTTCTAGCCAAAGGGCTGTACCGACTGCCGGTTTCCTGCCGTAGTATCTGATTTCGAGCGTTTTGAGTGAGAGTGGTCGGGTGATGTCGGTATCGCCAGCTCCGCCCGCTCGGGCTCGCAGCATTTGTAAAAGGCTAGGGAGGCAATCCCGATAGCACCAAACGGTGAGGCTTATTAAGCAAGGAAGAGGCCATTGGCCTGCCCCGCCGGGCGATGAAGCCGGCCTGGAGAGATACTCGACTACTGAGTACCCTCCGTCGTTCGCCTCCGACAGACCCAATGTCGTGAGGTAGAGAGGTCGCCCTCGAGAAACCAGTGAAACGAGCTCCTCCGAATCAGGGCCTGATAGTCTAACATCCAATGCTATGTCTGCTTCTTTGTCCGGAATGTTGTCGATCATCCAATGCGGTACTTGGGTGGCGGGGCAACTGGAACGGATGTTGGCAGCAACGCTGAGCTTGACGTTGGGAGTATGGAGGTAGTTCAATGCTTCATCAGCCACGATTATGACCCGTTCTCCTGGCACCAATTTTGAACGGATAACTGGAATAAAGTGGCCAACAGCTCTAGTGAGAGCGTCTGGAAGATGCAGTGGAACCTCATCCCACAGAGGACCACCTCCCAGTGTTATTTCCTGGCAAGCTGGAGCGCGGAGCCAGCTTGATAAGTCTACAACTCCAGATAATTTCTCTATTTGAATATAAAGTGCTGGACGTTCAGTCTCGGCAATCCCCGGGCCGGTTGCGCTGCCCTGCCTCTGATATGGCTTCTGTGCAGGTTTATCAGATGATTGGATCCCTATCTCAAACACCTTTAACGCGTCAACTTTGGGTGAAGCACCGAGTAGAATTCCCCCCCAAAAAAACAACGAATGAAGGGCCGAAAGTTGGCGGTTTGTTGTTTCCGTTCGGTAAGATACGATACCTGTGCTTGACTGCCTCCAAAACCTCTGTATTTAACATGTGAACCTGTCAGACAGAGCGAGCGGCGAACATAGCGAGTATTTATTTTATTTATCTTTCAAGCGGATCCCTTTCCTTCTTGGCCGTTTTAGGATGGTGGCGCATTCGATCGCTCAATCAAGGCCTCTCCGGCTCTTTTCTTAGTGTCAAATTGCGCAGGTACAAGAAATGAACGCCCATATCCGCGAATGGGATACCGGCCGTGAGATGGAGGGGATGTCGGCTTTCAAGAGTTCGGTACGCCTCCGATTCTCCAGTCACGATGAGGTTCAGGGACTGACAGCCTATTTAACCTCTTCTGTAAGTTTCCATTCCGTTTCGATTATGTCTAGTTCTTCGGGGATCGAGACGGGGAACATCTTGAAGTCCTGTTGTCGATAGTGCGTCGGT